GAGCTAATCATAATACCGAGCAGGCGGGCGGCCGGCAGCGCGGTAGGGGCGGGGCCGAGCTGCGCCTGCGCGGGCCGCGCGTCACTGTGACGCGATCGCAGGGGCGGGGTCTCGGGAGGGGCGGGGCGGGGTCTCGGGAGGGGCGGGGCGGGGCGCACCTGCGGGCCCTGGGGCTCGGGGCAGGAGGGCATCCTGGCAGCGTGCGGCCGCTGTGAGTCTGGGGGTGCGGCTGGCGGTGAGGAGGCCGGCGAGGAGCCCGCGGAGGATCGGGGACGGCGAAGGAGGAAGCACCGGGGACTCGGGATAATGGCCGAGAAAAGCAGCGCGAGCTGTCGGGGGACATCGGAGGGAGGGGACTAAGTCCCTGCCCTGGGGAGGGAGAGGGGGGGCTGAAGGTGGCTCGCACTTTATCACCCCAGCTTCCGTCCAGGTTTAATCAAGGAGAGAAAAAGATTAAATATACACTCATCTATAGGTGCACAGTTTTTGTCCTCTAGAGTTCGTTCTCCCTGGGAACCCAAATGGAAGGAATTTTAATGTTGTTGCTATTTAAACAAAAGGAGAGAAAGCTCAGCATCTGAATGCAGCTCTGGCTTTAAAGGCCAGCGGGAGACCCGCTCGGCCAGGCTGCCTCCTCCTGAAACGGCGCGGAAAGGCAAAAGGTCGTGGAAAGTATTAACGCATAGGAAGTCATTGTGGCCCTGGACGGTTCGGCTCGGGCATGGGCTCCTGCCTCCCACCTTGGACACGGCAGCTTGGTGCTCGGGGAGTCCTGCCATCCCGCATTCCTGGAAGAAGGGACTTGCCTGATGCCAGGGTTCACCAACCTGCTTTTCCCTTCCTGTGTCTCCCTTCTTTCCAAACCCTCCCCTCAGAAAGGACCCCTAGCAAAGGACACAAGCCAAAAAAAAAGCTGCTTGCATTTTCCAAGTTTGCTTAAATTGGATGGAGAAGAAAAATCTAGATGGCTTTAGCAAATGTTGGCCAATGTCAGAAGCCTTTCCTCTAGACCAGCGGTTCTCAACCTGTGGGTCGCAACCCCTTTGGGGGTCCAACGACCCTTTCACAGGGGTCGCCTAAGACCATCGAAAAACACATATATAATTACATATTGTTTTTGTGATTAATCACTATGCTTTAATTATGTTCAATGTGTAACAATGAAAATACATCCTGCATATCAGATATTTACATGACGATTCATAACAGTAGCAAAATGACAGTTATGAAGTAGCAACGAAAATAATTTTATGGTTGGGGGTCACCACAGCATGAGGAACTGTATTAAAGGGTCGCGGCATTAGGAAGGTTGAGAACCACTGCTCTAGACTCTCTCCTCAGCATCAACTTTGCACGCCTGAAGAGGACTGGGAAGCAAGAATGGAGGGTCGGGAGGTGCAAACCTTCAGGGTAACAACAAGGTTTTGTGTTAAAGGGGGGACTGCCCTAGCATGGGGTGATGGATCATTGGCTGGGGAACGCCCCAGGGTGTGGGCCTCGGGTGGGGCCTCTGTCCCTCCAGGGCTGAGTCAAGGCTCCAACTCTGGGATCAGGGTCACTCTGGCTTAGAAAGACCATCAAAAATCATCTCACTTTGACGTTGCCATTCTCGCTCTAGCAGCACTTTAAGCCAGAGCTCTTAACTTGGTTTGTGGGGATTCGTTCCTTTGTTGCTGGACACCTGGAAGGCCATGTATTTTTCCTTTCAGGGAGGTATCGCCATTCAGGGGGGAAATGCCGCTCTCATGGTCTCCCAAGGGAGGGCCAGTGGTTGAAGGCCTCCACCTCCACTGCCAGGTCTGTAGCCCCTGAGCTATAACAGTAACCACAAAACAATGGCTGTAATAGCAAAGCCCTCGGAAGACAGTATTTATTTATATTGCGGCTATGTAACTCCGGTTTTGAATACATTCTGTAAGGGAAACAAGGGCGTAAGAATAGCAGAACAATAAATGAAAAGGAACAGAATAAGAAGTTGATGTAAATAAAGTCAGTTCCAACTCGAGAGAGGGGTGCAGTACTGGGCAGGCGGTAAATCATTTATTCATCCCCAGTGTTTCTCGAGAAGCCGGAGTGCTGCTGGCAAGAACATGACCCATTTTTGGTTCCACACCATAAAGGTGGTGACGTGATCCGATTATGCTTCGGCAATGTTTAAAAATGCTCCAGTACAAAGTAATGTAGTATTACTTAATTTTGAATGTAAGCAAATATGTTTATTGGTAATGAAGAAACCCCTTCTCCAGTCTGCCCTGGAGCCGTCTCCAACACAAACTGCTTTTTTAAAATGTTAGGTCTTTTTATGGACTGGTGGGAAGCTTTAATTAGATATACAGCACTCTGCAAAACAAGATGGAGCATGCATGCAGTCTCTGCGATGCAGATCTCAAAAATAACATAATGCCACCAATTTAAGGAAGAAGTTGTTTATTGGAGGGAAACCAGGGAGATGCTACAAATTAGCTCAAGATGTGAAAAGCAAGAAGATTCATGAAAGAATTGCTGTTTTTATCTTAGGGCCCTCCAAAAGCAGCACGTGTGGCAAGGTTGTCTGCTCTAGATAGTGTCAATTTTCATAATTTATTAAAAATTTTAAATATATTTAAAACAGCAGGTCCTGGACATTCACATACACTTCTGTTTGAGTTGTGACATTTCATGCAATGATTTCCTTGTACATATTTAGTCATTTCGTACATTGACACTTGTGCATTTCTGAATCCTAGCTTCATCACAATAGGACCAAAGTACTGCCTCATTGGAATGGACTAAAGAATTCCTCAAAGACTCTGTGGTTTCTCTGTTGTAAGACTTCCACGTGATTAATATGCAGGTTAGCAGTGGAGATCGACGATGGGATTAAATGAGTCTTTCCATATTATTAGAACAGTGCCTGACACATAATGAGCAGTATATTAATGAATATTTTTAAAATGAGTACCATAGGATATTGCCAAGATATTCAAAGTTTAATTTGGGCCAAAAGAAGCATGCCTGTGTTCCTCCGACAAATAAACCCTGCTTAACCCTTTGTCCAGAGACTCTCACGCAGGCTGCCAAGCCCTCTATGCTCTGGCTCCTTCCTTTCTTTCCTCTGTATCTCTTCTCCATGAGCACCATGTCTCCAGCCTTCCCAGTTCTCAGAAAGGGAATTGCTTTTTCACACCTCTGAGCCTTTGCCCATTCTGTTCCCTCTGCCTGGAACTGTCACCCGCCCCTTTTCTCCACTTCCTACACTTGCAACCTCCTGAATTTCTACCGACCCTTCTAAGCCCAGCTCTGGTGTCACCTCCTCTGTTCTGCCCCCACCCCAGCCCATGAGAGCCAGGTGTTCTCTGGACCCAAACACCCTAGTACCTATCACTTACAATGTTTATCATGGGGCGTTTTTCATTCAATGGGAGCGTAATTGACATAAAACATCATAGGGTTTTGTAACTGTTTATTGTCCCATTTTCTCCCTTTGCAATTTAAACTCCTAGAGGACAAGGATTTTATTTTATTCAAATTTCTACTGATGCCACTCATCATTGAGGCTGCAAGCAGGCAGCCCAAGGGCTTACACCGCAGACTTGGGTGTTGTTGTTTTTTTTTTTGACACAGGCCCTTTAAGAATATGAATTGGCTGAGAACATTTGAAAATTGAGAGATTTGAGTTTTTGTTTAACAATTTTATTGAGGGATAAATTGCATACCATAAAGTTCACCCATAATACATGGTAATTCAGTGATGTTGAGTACATTTATAAAGTCAGGCAACCATCACCCCAACCCACTTTTAGAATATTTCCATCCCTTCCCAAAAGTTTTCTCAGATGCATTTGCATTCAGCCACATTCTAATTTCCAGTCCTTGGCAACCAATGATTTGCCCTTTCTAGAAATGTCATATAAATGGAATCAGACAATGTGTAGTCTTTGTCTG